TCTCTTTGGTGAAAAAAGTGGTGGGCGCCAAATTGGCGCATAATGGCGCCAAATGACGCCAGCGCTCGAAACGGATGTGATATTCGTGATCAGGGCATCGAATTACACCTATAGGCAACGTTTCAGCGAAAAAAAATTTTTTGAGTTTTTGGGGTAGGAATAGTTCAATAGTGCCAGTAATTGTTTATTGACCCCGCCCCACCCCCTCCTATTTCCCAAAGCTTTGTGCTACCAGTAGCGGAGCACAGTAGCATCATCGCGTCTGAAGAGTTTATTCATTAGGGTGTCCGGAAAGTTTTGAGAAAATTTCGCTGCCTCACTTTGAGAAAGCGTAGCGCGCGAAGGCCATGAGCAAATCTGTAGATCAAAACATGGGAAGATAGAGGATTGTCTGTAGATCAAATCAGCAGCTGATCAATATTTCATTTCGTCATTAGCCTTTGTTGTAACCAATCGAATAATGTGCGACAGACACTACAGTCGACGCATCCTACTTCATCTTTACCGTTCCGGCCGCTCCGCCACTCAAGCGAGGAATGAGTCGCTGTCGTCGATGGGTGGCAATGCACCCTTTCTTGCAACCTGCTACAGGTGGTACGATCGCTTCGCAGTGGGAGAGTTTAGCCTCGATGAAGCACCTCGATGCGGACGCCCTCCCTCTTCCAACACTGGCATCGTTCTGGCTTCTGTGAGGACCAATCCTGCCAAAATTTGAGGGAGTTGGAGAGGACGACTTCTTTTTTCAACTATTCCGCGGTCTCTTACCGCAAGGGAACGTGCGGTGAGGGTCGATCTATGCCAGAAGCTCTTCGATCGAGAACGAACGACGACTTGAGCGAGTTTCATAACTGCTCAGAATGAAAAGTGGATCTCGTACGAAAACCCGGATAGGAAACTGGAGTGGTTGCCGTTGGACCAAAAGCCAGAGCCCGTTCCAAAGCGAGGATGCCACGCCAAGAAGGACTTGCTCTCGTTTTTCTTCTGCTCCACCGGCTGCATTTATTATGAGATTCGTCATGAGGGTACTACTGAAACATCATCGATATTCTTTGAGCAACTACGAGAGCTGGTGTCCAGAGCTCCAGTTTCACATCAGTACCGGGGCAAATTTCACATCGACATGGACAACGCCCGGCCACATCATGCGAAGGCGACAAGGGACGAGCTGGAGAATTTAGGAATCGAATGGCTGCCCCATCCTCCGTATTCACCTGACCTTAGCCCTTGTGACTGCCATGCTTTCAGGAGTCTCCAGGCTTACGCTACGGGTAAGATGTTCAACAACCATCAGGATGTCAAGCGTATGGTCGATGAATGGATTGCGTCCCGGCCTGCTTCCTTCTGGAAGGAAGGTATCGATGCCCTGCCCAATCGGTAGAGAGACGTCGTGGCTAAGAAGGGCCACTATCTTGATTACTGATTTTTCGCTTTTCTTGTTGTTAATATGTGTTGAATAAAATGACTAAATTTTCTCAAAACTTTCCGGACCCCCCCCCACACCTATCCGCTCTAGTCGTCATAATAGCATCTAGAAACCTTGCAACAAGCTGTTCCGGCTTAACGTTTGCAAAAAGAGTTTCTGCTATGAACCGTGCATATTTCAATAAAAAAATCGCTGGTTCCTTATAAAGACGAACCATCAGAGCCTTCCATCCCTCTAAACGTCGCCAAAACGGTAGCAGGCTCGTGCGGGAGGACAAAAGCCGCTAACATGTCATTTGCTGCTCTCCGAAAGTCTTTGCTTGGGTCATATCGCATTCAAAAGTTCATTCATTTGTTCAAGCCAACGGAGGTGTGAATTGCTGTTTCCCACACTCACTCCCACGGTCTGCGGGATAAAAGTCCCATTATCCAAGTCCTCCAGTTCTCCAGAAGCTGCTACAGAGAATTGTGTATGAGAAGACGAGTACATAACAGTAGCAGGATCTCAATAGTACAGCAGGGTTCGCACTCAAATGTCTACACGGTTCCGTATGGACTTCAAACGGGTGCTGTTCCGGGTATGTGCAGCATTTTTTGGCGCGGAGCACCCCAGGCTTTGACACGTATTTTTATAAAGGGCCAGTGGAGGCTTTTTTGTTTGAGCCTATGGGTATAAAGAGCTCCAAGATGGGTGAAGTAAGCACATAGCCCGGAGCAATTTTGTCGATCAGCCGTTTCTTCACATCCTTCGGCACACAGTCCAGCACTCCCACATAGAAAAAAAAGCAGAGAAAATTTGCGTGAGAACGAGGCTCACTATACAAAAGTTCCTCGTGCGGGAGTGCGTTGATCGTAATTCGACGAACTATTGCCCAGAATGGCGGAGATGAAGTTATGGTAAGTGTTATGCTTACCACGCGCACTGTCCGGGGATCAAACCCCAGATCGCTTCCCGCTCAGGGCATCCGAGAATTTCACCCTCCAGGGACGGTAGATTGGTACTGTGAGAGCGAGTTCGAATTTGTGCGGTACTAGCAGCCCTTATTCGCTCGAGTGGATTTCGGGATTTTCGTGCAAAAGAAAGAAGTTTGGAGTTTTTATTATAGGAGCATTATTGTCCGCACACTTATCTGGTCCGGGATTTTGTAATTCTATTTCACGAATTCTATAGTTGTAAAAAATTTCCGTCACAAAGAACAGGGCCATGTTGATGGGTAGGGGAGGGAAGGATCAAGACTCGAGGTTATTTGATGCGGTTTGTTCAAATCGCTGCTTGGCTCTCGCCCAGGCAGGGCACGCCATCTTTGTGATCATCACAACAGGGGGGTCGTATTTGCCCGCGATGGAGGGGGGGGGGTCGTAAACGCATGGCCCATGTTGAAGTGGAGAGAGCGGTGATACACGGTACAAGTGAAAAGAAGCTCGAAAGGGACGATGAAAATGACAATAAAGAGAACTAATCACTATTGAACTATATTCCTACGCCAAGGAGTCGAGAAAAATTTTCGCTGAAACTTGTAGTAGATGTTATCAGATGTCCTGATCACGAGTATGACATCATGTCTCCACACCTCCATGTTAGGCGCTCTGCTGAGGCTGAAACTGGGAAAACGAATGATTTCTCTAAGGCCAGGCTCAGTCTCGACAAAGCGCTGATGACGTACGTCGACGCTGGCGCCGAGAATGAATGTCATATTTGAAAACAGGATGTCAAATAACCCCTGAACACAAGTTTTCATCGATTCTGCTGGTTTAAGGTATATAGGCGGCGGCGCCTGTGGCGCGGCGCCAAAAACCCCCAAATCACGAAATTGATTCGAAGCGGATATGATGTTCGTGTTCAGTGAGTCGAAGTACCACTGTGTGCGCAATTTTTCGGCCAAATCTGGCCTTCTAGAGAAAAAAACCAATAAAAGAGCGGCCTGATTTCGACAGACTGGGGTGGGAATAGATCGGTAGTGGCAAAAACTAGATCACAAACTAGAAAATACCAAGAAACTAAAACGAAAATCTAAAAAGCATTAAAAAGAACAACAAGAAATGACCATAACTCACTACTACTTTAAATGCTGGTTGTTCGCGGTCAGCCGCACGCGCCGCACGCGAGTAGTGCTAATTCCCACGCTAATAATACAAGCTCATTGGTGCGCGCTATTTTACGGTTTGGAGCCAATTTCAAGCCAAACACGTGAAAAGTACCCCTCTTTTGAACACCCATAACTTCGTTGAAAGTGAAGCTATCGGAGAGGGGTAAGTGGGAATGAGTAGAGCTAGGTTGGCTCTTATCACCTGAATTGAGCGATTTCAAAAACGTTCCGGTTCCAGAGATTTTCCCCGTTGTGATCATCTTTGTGATCCATCTGTGATCATTTTTGCGAACCGCGAGTCGCTACGCTTTGGACGTCCATGGCAAGCTTCATACACGACCTTTCGTAAAAAAAACTGTGCCGGAAGCTTGAAGATTTCTACTTTCCAGCAGAGCTTTAATTTCCTTCCTAGACCTACTATTCGAAAAAATTTCCCGTTGTGATCATTTTGTAATCACGACGATGCCCTCCACGACACCGCGAAAAATCAACCCCTCCGAGGCCAGGAAACCTCCAGTTGGCTCGAAGACTTTGGTATGCTTCTGAAACACATGTTTTCGTCAAGCATATCAGGTAATAGGCCATTGGGCGCCAATTGGCATCACATATGCAATGCGCCATGCATGGGGCTTTCACGCAGGTGTTTGA